AACAAAGATTTCTTTAAATTGGAGAGCCCTCAGGTTATGCCTGCATGATTTGGCTCTTCTTTACCTTGTCTCCCTCCCTCTTTATAGACTTGCTAGGGTTATGGGGTGGGGAAGAGAGGGGTTGGCTGTGTGCAGTTTGGATCCCACCAGCAAGCTATTTGCTTAGTGTCATCTGATCTGTCACTTCCAATCTGACGTTCACCCCTACCCAGCAAAGCAAAGCAAATGGCCAGTAACTCTTGTATCAGTATTGCTATCAGCTCCTGAGACTAAAGACAAGGTTCCTTTAGCCTCTGTTTAGTCAACTGTTGATTGAGCTAATGTTAGCATAGGACACCAGAAAAAAACACCACTGACTCCATTTCAGCAGCTGCTAAGTAACCATGGTTACTCTGATCTTGGTACGTACATTGGACACCAGTGTCAGTGGCCAGCGCTGAAGGCCTCTCATGTGCTGCGGCCTGTGCCTGGCCATTCCATCAATATAGAGTAGTGCAGGGAAATAAATACCTACTTATTTACTTCTCTTCATCCTCAGAGAGGAAAACTCTGCCTAAACCAGGTGGTATGAAATCCTCTTCTCCACAGAGTAAATTTTTTTTTTTTAGTTATTGGGGAAGTTAACTAGCACGAATGCTTCAAGATATCAACTTGTTGATTATCTCCTAGAAGCTGCAGGATTTTAAAAAGGTCATTTCCTGGCTAGTGCTTGCTTCTTGGCTGAAAGAAAACATGCCTGGAACCAAGCAGTGTGCATCCTGTTGCATCTCACTGCTTCATTACATCTTAATTCCTATTTCTCCACACCAATCCCAAGACACTTTAAACTGCTTCACCACATAGCTTTGGCTCCCCCCTCCCTTTCCCCCTCACTAGAAAACCATTCTCGTGCCCAGGAAAATATGAAAGAGAAAATTGGCAGCTGAGGTGATGAGTCATTGCAAAAGCAAGATAAATGAATTCACTGAAACCCTAATTGCTTTCAGTAAATGGGGAGAAGAAAAGTTGGAGTGTTCCTGTGGTGAGTTAAGCTCATTTATCACTTTCAGTTCTCTCTTGCCAAAATCTCTAGACCACCCTTAGCTGAGGGAAGAAGGGCAAAGTGAAGAACAGGAGATGTAAGGTACTGGTGGATGGAAATGTTAAGTGTTCCCTTTGCGATCTTTTCCGAGCTTGCCTTGCTGAGAGAATGGAAAACCTTTAAAGCTTTTTCTCCAACAGATGTGCTTTTCCATTTAGGACTCATGACAGCCATCTCAGTCAGCACAGGAACCTGTCTCTGTGGCAGCCCAATTTGAGTGGAGCCAGACATCCGTGTTAATGACACAATTCAGTCAAGCTTCCTCTGGCTGGAAGGAAATTCTAAAGACAGGGTAGACTGGGCTGTGCAGGGGGTTTGAGATATCTCTGCAAAAGCTGGAAGGATGAAGAGTCAAATTTATCTCGCCTCTAATTGCACCTCTACTCTTTCCTGCCTTAAATTTTGCTCAGTTTCTTCCCACCCACCCCCAACTGATGAATTTCTCTTCTGCACTCCTGCAAAAGTCCAGAAGAGAAAAGAAAAAGGTAGTGTGTAAGCAATAAAGACTCTCAGAGCATGGTAAGGGATGGAAAAGGTACTGGAAAATTGAGGGACAGTCTAGACCAAACAAATCTCTCCTATTTATTAGACTAGCTGCAGAATCTCCAAGGACTGCTGTTACCATACAGCTGAATACAAAAGTATATCCTGGCTCCCACTGAGACACAGAAGACCACAGACAGTGTTTGTGACAATAGAAATGGTTTTGCAGATAGTTGCTTATGTGAAAACACTTCACACTGAGGTAGCTGTAATTATGCTATTTGCCTTCCAAGTTGAGCCATGAAAAGTACTTAAGATTGACACCCATCCTAGATTGTAGATAAGGAGATTGATTTGCTATTTATTGAATCTCATGGATTCAGAGACAAGCTGTTTGTGGGGAATGTGCTTTCTCCAGCTGCAGAGAAGCTGAGGCGTGAGCCTGTCATCATCAGGGTGGTGGGGTTTTTTTTGCCTTATATTTTTCATGTGGCAGAAATCTAGAATCCTTTTCTCTTTGGGAGACTGACCATTTCTGTCATTACTGCACTGGAAGAGTCTAAAGCAGACTGGACAGATTCCTATACACTATGGCATTCTTTCTGGTTTTAAAGTTGTGAGTACCAAAAGAAGAAAAAAAGGTAGATTTAGATTAGATATGAGGAAGAAATACTTTACTCTTGAGGGTAGTGAGGCACTGGAACAGGTTGCCCAGAGAAGCTGTGGATGCCCCATCCCTGGAAGTGTTCAAGACCAGCCTGGATGCGGCTTTGAGCAACTTGGTCTAGTGGGAGATGTCCCTGCCAATGGCAGGGGGATTGGAAGAAGATGATCTTTAAGGTTCCTTCCAACTGTAACCATTCTATGATTCTATATATTTTTGAATTGATAGTGAAATTAATTCTATCTGTTAAGTCTGCATAGGTTTGTCATAGTTCTATACCAGCATCAAACCTGTAATAGATGCTTTTATCAAATTCCTGTAGTTTCTTTTATCAAGTAAAAGAAGACCTCTGAATATGCTAGTTCAGTAGAGATCACCAAAAAACAAAAGTTCAAGTTTCAAAGAGCAATATCCAGCTGCATGTAGAAGCAATTTTCTGTCTGGGATCCTTGTTCTAAAATGTAATGTATATATGTTCTCTAGTGATGAAACATAGGCTAAATTCTTATACTTTGCAGCCTGTAATGGTCCTAACCTATGGTCTATTCCTATAGATATCAGCAGAAATATTGATAACAATGGAAATAAGTCTTGTGTGATGTAATCCTGCAGGATTTGTGCATTCTGGTCATGATTCAGCAAAGCACTTAGTAGCATATATTTTGTCTTACATACACATGTTGAATTTAGCAGGTGTTGATTAAAGGTAAGGCTGCATTTGAGCACTCTGCTGGATTAGATTTGGAGCAATTCTCATGTGTCAAGATCCTTTTTACAGTGAATAGCGTAGCAGATTTTTGCGAGATAGAAACACTCAAGTCACACTGGAAAGTACTGCTTTACTCTCCAGAAGCCACCAAAGTAACTATCTACATATAACCACAGTTCAGTAATGAATGTTCCTCCCAGGTTATAAATATGTACTTAGCAGACAGGGGAGTGTCTATGTCCAACAGTGCAATGCAACTCTTAACTACTTAAGTCCCAGTCTTGACTGTTACTACCATAAAGACTCTTTTCAAAAGAAAGACTTCTACCTACTGAAATCTGCCTAGTGTTGAGAACAGAGAGAATTATTCTAAATAAAAGCATATGTATGATCAGATTTGGACCAATTTCTTGAGAGACGGATTAACAGGTCACTGTTCCCTAAATGAAGATGTCCCCACCACCATCCTGCCACACCTAAATCTTGATAGATTTTCTTCTGTTGGTGTATCACTACCAATCACTGCATTTCTCTTTTCTTTCTTTCTATCTTTCTATCTTTTTCTATCCTTTGTTTGTTTTATTCTTACTTGCCTGCAATTCAGAGTAAATAGTTTCCTTTATTCTAAAATAATTCTCTGCCTCAAAAAAGTGTAACAGGAAACAGTTTTCAGATAAAACACTAAAAAATTCCTTTTAATCAGCTGTTGTATCTGGCTTTGTTTTTTAAAATGTTGTTTAGTTTTGATACTATTTTTATATGAAAGATGCCATGAAAAATCAAGATGTCTTTTTGGCCAGTCTGTTATTCTTAAGATTTAGATACACCACATTGAAAACACGTATCCAACGAGCCTAATGATTCCTGCTAACAAATAAGCAAACTTGTAACTTAAGAATTCTGAAAACCTTCTCTGTCACTGAAGAAAACACCCAAATATTCTTAAAGGAGAAAAACATGGAAGTTCTTTGACCCTGACCATTAGTAATATATTTTTAAAAAGCACTTAGCTCTTCATTAGAATCAATAATGATCAAGTAAAAGTTCAGACCGTGCCAACAGCTAAAAAAATATTTTGTAACAAATATATCAGCCCCATACCTTCACACTGGACATGTCAACACTCCCAATGAGTCTTAATTACCAAAATGCACAATCCAAAGACAGCTTTATCATAGCTGCCAATTTAGATAAGTCGCACCTCTCAGACAACGTGGAACTTAACTTTTTTTTCCTCAACTCTGTTGGTAATGCAGAAAGCACACAAGTCATTTATGTGGGGCTTCTCAGTGAAAAATAAAATATGTTAACCATAGAGAAAACTTACAGCTAGACTGGTCTTACAGAGGCTGGTAGAGGAGGGCAGAGAAGAGAGGACTATAAAGAACAACAGTGGAGTAATGAAAGAAGCCCATGGATATAATCAGTCAGTAGGTAAAAAAATTTAAAATAACCTTTAGCCTTATGGAGATCATGTTTCATTGAGACATTGAATGAGCTAGCTGCATCAGCAAATCCATCTCTCAGGGGCTGTCATTTATTCCTGCCTGAAGCTGAGCTCTGTTACAATCTACAGCCAATGAAAATTACTGATCAAGATTTGTGGTTTTAAAATGTTTGTGCTGGGGTAATAAACTTCAGTGAGCTATATCATATTTTTTTTGTAAATAAATATACAATGGTTATGATTTTAGATGTTTGTGAACCTCTCTGACTATCACAACTCACCTAGCAATTCTACCCTTGCTGTTGAAATAAGATTGCGTGTTCTAGTATATAACTGAATATCATGCTCTGATTGTTTGCTTATGCTTTTTTTTTTTTTCTTCAAGGGGTCAGCCAACAAGGCTTTCCCCATTTGTTTTCAGGTTTTAGCAATCCAGAAAAGTCACCCATAAGCAGCATCCTTGCAATGGGACCGTCGGCTGCAGTGAGAATAACGCCTGTTCCAGAGGAAGGCACTGGGAACAGAAGACACCCTGTACTAGTACATTAAACATACAGAAAATTCTCCCATTCAGGTGATCACATACAACCTTTTGCAACCGATACAAGTTAAGAAAGGGAGAACTCCAAGTGCAGATCATCTAACCCTCAATAATCCCAGACATTGGTTATTTATTGGAAGCAGTTCCCTCTGAAAACTGAAATGCTAGGAATTACGGTGGATTGGTAACAAAAAATGAAGCACTCACCAAAGGTAAGAGATACCATCTCCAGTTTCATTAATGCTGTACTTTGTCTCTCTTTGACCTCTTGTTCCTCCTTGGAAATGTGTTTTAGAATTCCAGTTGTAAAGAGTTTTCCTTGTGAACAGTGTTGAGGGATGTGGTTTTTTTTCTTCTGTACCCCAGCTGTGAGCTGACTTAGAACTTGTGACAGACTCTTTGAGGGTAGGGTTTAATCCTCTAAGTTTTGGCAATAATGGTAACAGTTGTCGCAGTGAGTCTCAAACCAGGGAATAAAGGATCCAAGTGACCTTGGTTTATTGAGCTTGTTTTAATGTTGGGCTTGTCTGTGCTGAATTGAGCCCAAGCAATTATTCTGGTGTATAAATTGCTTCCGTGGTATCTGCGTGCCTAAGGAGAAAGATGTACAATGAAGTGTTAAATAGCCTTCTACAAGAAGAGTAAATGATGCATATCAGACCAGAAAGCACCAGATCTTCCTTACTGATCTGGAGCACACAATCACAGTCAGCCTACGAAATCATTCTGGGCAACTGTGGAAAATTAGGATGCCATTGGGGAATATTTTTTTGAAGTTGGGAAAGTATGGTACTAAAACACTGATGTAAGGAAGAAATATTTTGAAATGCACTGGCTTTGTGCCCCAAACGTGTCTGAGAAATTTACATGAAGTACTTGTACCTGCTTGTAGAATCATTGTTTCGCATATATGGTGTGTGACAAGATGGCCCTTGTGTACCACCTGTAAGGGCTGAATTTATTGACCAGCAAGTCTGGCTGAAAGCTTTTGCTTTGTCTCAAAGCACACAGTAGTGGTATAGTTATAGTGTTCAAGACTGACACCTGGAGTTCTTTTGACCTTGGTGACATTAGTAAGGTTATGTATGGCAACACAAGTCTAAGTGCAAAGAACATATCTAAAAGGCTGGGCAGGGGTACAGAGGCCAAAGGCATTATGAAAGGACACACTGACCATACCACAAAATCACCTTAAAATGTGAAATAATGCTTAGCTTGAGAAATTGGGAAAGAGATTCAGTTTCAGTTCCTTATTTTCAATCACATGCTGTTGAATCCTGTGCTTGCAAAACAAAATGAGCACTAAATATTTTGCTCTAAGTGGCATAGTAATAACTCTCCAGCTTTTTAACCATTATCCTTGGTTTGATGCTTAAGTTTGCACTTCTCTAAGGAAAAAACTGTGATTACTTAAAAGAAGTCCTTCTGCGTCTTACAAAACAGAACTTGATTTGACACTTGAGACAGAAGTTCTCTCTGCACACAAAAAAGCTGTGGTTTTGACTCCTGGATACCCTATATAACACACCCAGGTACACTGCAAACTGAACATCCCATTTAAATGGACCCTTTGATTTTTGTCCTTACTGCAACTAGAAACAATACTGTTTTCCAGTTTCTATAATTTGACTCCACAGTAAATATTCTCCAGAAATAAAGATTTATAATTAAGTACTATAAAATGTATGGGATTTACAACCATATAGGTAGCACTCAATTGTAGCTGTCTGTATCAGGCTTGTAGTATGAAAGATGTTAAATGTAAAATAATAATTACCTTGTTATTGTAGCAAATTACTGAAAGCAAATGTTCTGGAGCCTGAGTCCCTTCATTTATGCCAGTTTTGCACCATTATTTTAGTCCCCCAGATCACCTCCTGACTTGTAGTGGAATAAAAGGAGAATGGAATCTCTCTCCGTTTAGCTGTGACTAACATTGTGGCAGAGATGTAATGTCTAAATTACAGATTGCTAACTTTAGCAGTCACAAGAAATTTCCTCTCGCTACTGATACAACTGAAGCTAATATTTCCTCTACAAGTGATTGAAGTAACAGGCCAGGGAGCAAACAGTACCTGGCTGCTACTTTATCTGTGTTCCACGTAGCAGCACACAATCAGAAGAAACTTATTCTGACTGTTGCCCCTTTATGAGCAGAATATAATGATAGGATAGGGTAGGATAGGATAGGATAGGATTCGATTCTCATTTGTTTCTGCAAATCTCAAAAGTGTTGAAGGCCAGGAACTGATAAAAGCCCTTCCAAGAGGAAAACAAACAGGTATTTGGAACGTGTGTTGGCTGTGTCTCATGACACCTTTATTCTTCTATATCAGAGTGCAAAATAGTTTCCCTGAGCTTAAACGTTGAAAACAGAAAGAAAAATCTTACATGTAAATGGTGGGTCATCCATAACAGAAGGTTAACATAAAAATTTACAATTGACCACAGTCTGGGGGCATCCCATCCCTACAGTAAAGAACCCTTAAATGTCCAGCTTGAGGATGGTAAAATCTCAGTGAAGAAAGTGATGGCCGGCACCAGCTTCAGAGCTACAGGGGAAAGCAAACTTGGCAATTGCCTGCTTTCAGCCTCCAACAGGGCAATGCAGCATTGCCCCACAGGACATCAGCCTTACTTCAGGGTGCCCTGCAATAGAGTTGCCAAGTACCTCATCATCTAAACACTTCCTAGGGCAGGAATTTTCAAGGACTGTGGCACTTTGCCTCCCCAGAAACCAGCTGGGTCTGGGGAGAGGGAGGGAGAAGGGAGCAGGCAGGAAGCATTGTATGCAGAGCTTAGTTCCACACAGCTGGGAGGCTGGGTGACAGCTGTTAGTCTCCCTGCTTTTCCAGGCATTATTTCCTCATCCCAGAGCAGTGCCTCAAATGCTAGCCTGCCTTCGGGAAGAAGAAAACACAGCTTTTGTTCTGGGACCCTCCCTGGCTGCCCCCTTGCCCAGCCCATCACAGCATCGTGCCTCCTCCCAACCTCCCCATTCTGCAGGAACAGGGTACTGTGACCCCAAGCTTGTTTGTCCCCTTCCTGCATTCCAGCAGGCCACTAGAGTGTTGTTGCCCCATCAGTTATCTCCTCTTGCACCTTCCCAAGTCAAGCTGGGGACAGCTTCTCTCATTGCTCCCTCAGTAGGAGTGAGTTTTCCTCCCTTGACATTAGCTGTAGGTTCCTGGTGACCTAGGGCTGTGCACCAAGCTGTGCTTCCAGCCACACAGAGCTGCCCGGCCAGCTCAACCCATTCCTGTCACCCTGCTCCTCAAGCCCTTGGTGCTGCCAGTCTAACACAGAGTGCTGTTGGGACAGAGGTGCAAGGTTCATGCTTGGGCTGGGCTGGGAGCCCAGTTCTCCTCCCATGCTTCTCCTGGGGAAGCCCCAACTGGGCTGTGAGACCACCAAACCTCCAAGGCTGAAACAGCCTGTGGAGAACTCAAGTGCATACAAGCAAGGAAGTAGTGTAGGTGTCGCTGTTGTCCATCAGTCTGGAGTGGAGTAGTATTTCACTTTTAAGGGTTTGGGGGCTTAGTGGTTAGATGCCACAATGTAGGCCTTACGGTTAGTTTTGCTCACCGTACACGAGTGACAAGCTAGCTGATGGGAATTTGTGCATACATCCAGCTGTGCTATGAAGGTTGTAAGTTTTTGGGTTTGGGGTCTTTTTTGGTTGTTTTTTGTTTGGGTATTTTTTTTGAACTTTTTAGAGAGGCAAGTGAAGATTTCTGGATTTTGCTGAGACACAATAAGATAGAAGTGCACAAAAGGCTTCTTACAAGCTCTGATCACTCAACAGCTGAGAACTGAGATGTCACCTAATCTAAGGAACAGCTTCTTGCTTGGGAAATTGATTACTCTGGTCCATGTAAGTACTGTTAATTAAACCTCTGCCGTGACAAAATGAACTGATGTCTAGTCCCTCTTAAAGGTGAAAGGATTATTTCTATATCCTGCCTGGGTGTCACACTTGGCATGCGATTACAGCATCAGCTAGTGTTAGCCTGTATCAGGAAGCAGGTAGGACTCTTGTGGCCAGTCAGGAGCATGAGTATTCGCTGCAGGAAGGAAGAGCCACAACGAGTCTTGGTAAGTCACATGTGATCTGGATGTGGCCTTTGGCAGACTGAGGTTCATGCTTGTAATGCTAGAGTGCAAAGGAGCTGGCATCAAACACAACCCTGCTTGCTCTACAGCAAGACTAAAAAGTACATTTAAGGGACAAAATGCCAGATAGCACCAGGACAGCTAGGAGCAAACAGCTAATAGAAAAGGCCTTATCACAACAATTTCAAACAGTAGTAGAGAGCAGAACTCCAGTTTTGAAAAGCTGGACTTGCACAAGCACATTCTGATCCCCTTTTATGCAGTCACTATCCTAATGGCTTGGGTGTTTTTTTGTTTGTTTGTTTGTTTGTTTTTTCCAAATTAATACATCCAAAATCTATATTAAGAAAGTAAACAAGCAAAGGCGAGTCTTGTTTCTTCCATGAGCATCTGCAAAAGAGACAAAAAAAGATTGCTGGAAAATGAAGCACAAAGCACAAAAAGCATCAGAAGTGCATCAATAACATCAAGGAGGCTGAAGCAGCTGCTGAAGGAGATGTGGCAAAAGACATTAGTGATTCAATAACATTCATCAAAATAAATAGTCTGTAAATTTGTACTAATACGGTACCTCTTACAGATAAACAAGGAGACACATGGACAGAAAAAGAACCAAGAACAATAGCTGAGACTCTCAGGGCATGGTAAATAGGCTAGACTGCAAGAAACTGTTGCCTTTCAATAACTACTCCACTCTACTAACCCCATCACATCATAAGCAAAGAAATGAAAAATGAAACTCAAGTAAAAGCCAGGAAATGCCCCAGGGAAAGTTCCAAGTTAAAATGTTGAAAGCTTGTAATGAGTTCTTTGATTTTTGAAGTTTTACACAGCTCCAGCAAAGCCTGAGCTTGCAAAGAGTGTCCTGACAAAATAGAATAAAATGCAGGTTTTTCCCTCAGGGAAAAAAAAATTTAGTAAGTTGAAATAATTTATAGCAAATATTCAGTTGTAAGAAATCTTATAACTTGAATCTGAATTATCAGAAAAGAGAGAAAATTCTCACCCTATGTTCAGAAGCATGGGAGTGCTTAATTAGATGTCTGGGAGAAACACTACCAATTCTCCACTACCAGCTAGGAGGGATTACTGCACCACTCTCTAAAGGATCACAACTGGTGCACAAGGGCTGCTCTCTGTGTAAGGAGCCACAGTCTCATTTTGCACGTACAAAGCTAACATTTTTTTCTGTGACAGTCAAAGTGCAAATAGGCGTGATTGTTTCCTCATCTCCATGCCTGGGGTGTGTGGTGGGGCAGGTGCTCTGGGACCACAGAGCGCCAAGATATCTCAACCCTGTGATGTCTGCCAAAAATCCATACATTGACAATGTATGAACAAAGCAGATGGTCACCACTTTTATGGGCTGTTGCATGCTGGTTCTCAGCATACAGGCAAGGAACGCCGTTTGCTATGCTTCATTGAAGATGGCAGCATGCCAGTTAGTACAGCAGGTACATCCGGAAGACCTGCTTAGCAGCATGCTTACAAAAAATTGTCAGCTAGCAAGGAGGACCATAGTTAATGCAGCTGATCCAGAGTTAATCCTGAGGATCCTGAAAAAAGCTGACTGCAACCAGCGCAAGCTCAAAAACACGGCACAACTTTTCCCCGATGCAAGTTCCCATTAAACTCCTCCCCCAATTTTTTATTATTCCTGTATTTATTTCTCCAGGAAAGTTAGAGTAACCATAATTAAGGTCTCTGTTTATGCTGGGAGGATATGGCCTCAAGTCACACCAGGGGAGGTTCAGATTGGATATTAGGAAAAATTTCTTCACAGAAAAGCTTACGAAGCATTGGAACAGACTGCCCAGGGAAGTGGTGTCATTGACGTTCTTGGAGGTATTTAAAAGGTGGGTAGATGTGATGTTGAGGGACATGGTTTAGTGGTAGTTTTGGCAGTGTTAGGTCCATGGTTGGACTCAATGATCTTAAAGGTCCCTGCCAACCTAGATGATTCTATGTTTCTATCATCGACTTAACTGAATAATACTTATCTCAGTTTTGCTGTACTTATCTGGAGAATGTTTTTCAATGATTGCTTAATAACGAGTTCAAAACAAAGTTTGTTTAACTAAATGGAAGTTAAAAGTGGAAGTTTATTTATAGTTTAACTAAATGGAAGTCCCAGTACAAATCTGGACATTTGCAAAATGGAGTTTCCAGCAGGAAAAGGCAAAAGATGATATATTTTACTGTGAAGCTGGGCATGTTTAAAACATTATTGCATCTCAGAGCAAAGTTCTGAAATATCCAAAGGATAAATCTTGAAATAAAATCTTTTTTTATATCTTTAAACTGAAAAAAGTAGTTTATGTTGATTTTTCTTTTTTAAATCAGAATCATTGAGGTGAAACAAAATCTGGAGCCTTTTAAATAAGTAAGTGGGTTTGGATCAAAATCTGGACGCATTTAAATAAGCCAGTGTAGATCAAAATCTGAACTTCATGGCACAGATATATTTGAAATAAGGCATTTTCCCCCCAGACCTTTCTCAATACAACTCTTATCCTTCATGCTGACCTTTTACATTTTCCACTGAGTTGGAAGCCTGGTTTGTGAACTGTCTTTGAATGGTATTTCTCTTCCCTAGATAAAATAAACTTCCTGTCTTGGCAGAGGACAAGGTAGCTTGTGTTTTATTTTCTGTATTGTAGCAACAAGCCAAATGTGAATTTGTGTTCAGGAATCGGGAGTGTTAAATTTCAGCCGTGACACTGAAACTAAATCTGTAGGTAAATGGCATTTAAGAATAAGAAGCAGGTAAACCTTACTGGCACGTCATTTGTTGTAGTTTTTTCGTATGATATAGCCCATAAGAATGAACCAATGAATCTTCAGATTTCTGAGGAACACAGTGTGAGTTGATAAATGAGATGCAGAATTATCGAAGTGCCATTTTTTAATTTACATGTGCACAGTCAGTTTGTTTATTTTTGTCTTTGACTGAAGAGATGGGTAAAGGGACCTAGGACCAAAAATTTGCAACTGCTCTCCCATAAACAAAAAGTTTTTCCACTTTCATTTTTCTCTGGACACGGACAGTAAAAAGGTAGTATTGATTTTGTAAAATATTAACTAGATTACTCCAGATTAGCTTCTTTTTTAATTTAAATTTTTAGCTAGGCATAGGTCAGAACACAGTCTCATCAACACTGAGGCAAGCACCAGGTACAAATTGATTTATTGCTGTAACTCTGTGCATGTCTTGGTCCATAATTCATATTGCTGCTGAATTATACATAATACCTAGTTGTTGGAGAGGATTTTTGATCTTCAAAACTTGGTGGGTTGTAATTAGTAATTCCACCATGCTACTGCTTGTATAGCAGCAGATTTACACAAAAAAAAACCAACAAAAACCAAACATATAATACTCTTGTTGACCTAAAGCATTCCTCCCTAGGCTGTTCAGGGCTGGAGCTCAAGCCAGTCAGAAGCGCACACTGTACCAGCATCAACTGCAGCCTGATCATTTTCATCTGGCCACGTGGGACAGTAAATGGCCATTCTCTCCTGCCTTGTGCGCTCACCAGGTATCTGGTGGTGATTGGCAGAACACCTTAGGGCTCTTTGGTATGTGACCACAAATAATTTTGTCGTTTTTACTTGATAACTTTATTCCTACTGTTGTGTCTTCGTTGTAACATTTGTCTATATCTCCTGTTGAAACGTAGTGTGCTCACATAATGATAACATGTACCGCTATTTAAAAGTATTTATTAGAAATGAGAGGAGATGATATAATGCATTGGTCTTGTTAGTGGGTTGGAATAGATTAAGCGCCTTTGTAGAAATCTGTGTTCTTCTCTTATGCTAATTCTGTAACATTCTTAGAACTGATACCCAACTGCAGCTCAAACACACAGAATAATTATCCAAAATTCTAAGCCTGATCTGACAGACCTCATGACAGCTATCATGCTGCTTTCCATTAAGGAAATAATGTTAGAGGCTTTTATCCATATAAATCAGGAGGTGACTAAATACCAATCTCTCTGATAATGTAGAAGATCCTTGTGATCTTGAACTTGTTTTCGGTTTGTGCATCACCCACCACCTACACCAGCACTTCTGCAAGTAGCAATTCTGAATAGTAATGTAGATTGGAAAGTGGATTTATATTTTAACACTTTTAAAAGATATTCACTTCCACTCCGGAAGCAGAAAAAATATTATCTCTACTGATTTAAGACATTGGATAATATATCTCTCCATGCCTTCAGCAAGATGATGGCTAGCAGTGAATTCACTAACACTGATTGATCACACAGATACCTCTCAATTGTGAACAGCCAATTAACCCTTCAGTTAAGTGTTTCTAATGAGACATAACAACCTGGCTATAGATACTATGTCCTGAGAGTACAGGGACTGAATGGTAGTCAAGTGAGTCCCTAATTAACTAATTCACTTTACTTAGGAAAGAACATATAACAGTATCCAGCTGGCTGTATTTGCAGTATTAACTGTGAACAAACTGAAGAGGATATCTTGTGAAGCACAAGCTTGTGTTGTGACCTAAGAAGTAATTAAGCACTATAAATACAGCCATTATTACACATCTGATATATAAAGAACTGGAAGCTAGTCACTTGGCAGCTGTGAATTCTTACCCAATTAGCAATGCAAACACTTTTTTAATAGGGTTGTTAATTTTAGATTAATTGTTACATAGAGTCACATTGCCATCTAGAGACCACATATGGATTTTGAACAGCTTTAAGATCTGATTTTAGAGGAACAGAGAATTATTTGTTAGCCTACTTACATTTAATACATCACTCCATGAGAACAGTGCTTTTCATTGAAACAATGGCTTGCTTTGTGATTATTATTATTCAGCTTTTAACATGGGCCTATCACTTGCCTTTGTGGTTTTTTTTTTCAAGGCTAATCTTCAATATGAAAAAGCAGAGAAGATTGGGGACTGGTGGAAGCAGGCTTAAAAAAATGATAATATAGCAATCAAAAAACCCAACCTCTGAAGTATTTGCAACCTGAATCACAGCAGTGTAAAGACACACCAGCAGGCACTATACCCTAGCAAGATAATCCTTGTGAACTTCCAAGCTAGTGGGGGTGCCGTATGCTTTCCCTTGCTCTATTTACTGGCGTGGAGGGCAAGGCTCAGATAGGAAGTACTTTGTGTTTCCAGCCTTTCTGGCAAGGGTTGTATGGGGAAGCCTGTCTGCTTGGTGCCAGCTAACACGCTGTTTTCAAGCAGGCAGCTTCACAGCTATTACAGGGAAGGGAATGCTGCAGGCACAGCAGAGTGTTACTTCTGCTCCGCTCCGTAATCCGTAGGGAACAAACTCTTGGCAAAAGCCACTCACCAGAAGGACCGAGGCAAACAATCTGGGATGCGCAATGGAGAGAAGTAACATGTTTTAATTTTTTTTAATTGAACCCAAGAGATTTAATTAATGTCTCGTAATGACAAGGAGCCAGTCTGAATTTTCCTGGGACCTGAAGTGTAAATTGAGATCTGCCCCTGAATATAATCACCTGCAGCTGTGATGGAAATTTTGGGATCCAGGTGGCCCCAGGCTGAAGGGACAGTGTCAGAAGCTGGGCAACATGGCTCTGTAGGTTGTCCATTGCCATAATTTGTGTAATTCATTCAGACATCCAAAACCAGTTGGGTTATGTACCTTGCCTCAGTGAAGAACACACAAACACTTCATGTAAACCCCAAAAGGGCAGTCAGGACCCACAGAGGTGCTGTCATTTGTGCTTATACTTCATATCCTTGGTGCTTTGAGGGAGAAGGGAGAAGAAAGTCTGGAGGCCCAGAAGCCTTTATAGGTTACTTAGGGAAGCCCAGCAACTCCACTGTATTGGCAATCTCAAACTCAGCCCTTCTCAGTGTCTGTAAAACTATTTCAAAGCTGAGATGATGGCTACCTGTCATATACTGATCTCACTATGTTGTTTTTGTCTTGTTAAAGTGTTTTTTCTCTTCTAGAAATTAAGACAAAACAGAGAGAGAAGCTTGATGACTACCACAGCCAATCCTGGATTATTACCCTTTTGCAGCAAGAGCAATTGTGGGTCCAGGGTATGCCGGGTGATCACCATGCAGAGGAAGCTTCAACCCTTCCTGAGAGTGCTAACAGACTGCCTGTGTTGGGGGCATCTAAGATTTTGGGACCAGAGGAAGTCCTTGAGAAAGGGCACAGCACTGCTTTTTGCTTGTGCAGCCCATGGGGCAGCCCTACTCCTGCTGCACCATCACAGTGATGTCTCTAAAGAAACCAGGGTAACTCCATGCTGAGGTGGGTGTGCAAAACTCTGCCATGCTGCCTTCTGTTCTTTAACACATAAGAATGTTATTTTTTTATGACCTTATACAGGAGCGGAATGGGTCCATGAAATTGGGACATATTAAAATTTGGGGGCTGGCCTCAGCATCCTGCTGCGGTCCTCTATCCAGGGAGAACAGTCAAAGCAAAAGGGATGCAGTGTATTTGGGGTTATCAGTCACTCCTGGACACACAGTGCTGGGTACCCACAGCTTGGATCTTTCCCATCATGAGGAGAAAGCACTTTACTTGTTCGGTTTTTTTTTTAACTCAGCTGAGGGAAATGTAAAAAGGAGAAAGAAAATGACAGCGTGCCCCAACCAAAAATATTTAGGCAAGGGAAGCCCGAGAAATTTTCTTGAGCTCAGTCCAGATTACAGATCTTGTTCCCTCATACTCCCTCATAGGACTAGTCTTAGAATGGCAGAAAAAACCCTGCTGATTTTTCTTTAGATAGATATATAGATTGATGTGTGTAGCTTAATTATAATACAGTAATATTAATATAAATAAATATATAATAAAAGGAAATATAATCTAAATATTAAAATATATATAAATAAATATATAATATAAAGCAGGAGATCTCTTTGTTTTGTTGTTTTATACGTTACTTTGATGGTTCCTTCTCAGTTTCTGTACGTAATTTAGTCATATTTTAAAACAAATACCATACAAATTCTGTAACATTACCCAGAAATCTGTTTTCTTTCCCCTCACAAAAGGAATTTCTCACTTGTTTTGGGGTCCTAAAGCTTAACAGTTGAGTACCTTTCAAGCCGAAGTCTACCTGCTGCTTGTCCAGTTTTAAGTGTAACCGTTGCGTATTTGTCTGTAACAAGCCAAGTGAGATGTTATTTAAACAAAAGCTGTTGAGGAAACCCAAAGAGCTCCTTTCTGTTTGACAGGGCAATTTGTTGAATCACTTCAACGTGACAAATCAATGTGACAGACTTTCCATATTTTTCATCAGTCAAAAAATAACTCCAAGTTAAACCAAAATGGCCAGCATGTAGCTGAGGGAGGGCCACAGAGCAGAAGGGTCTAATTGGGCTCTCTCAGAGGGTGCAGAAGAAACTGGATCTACTCAACAGTTTGCTGATAGTTCTGTTAAAAGCTGCTTTTTAGTTAGAGATTCGTAGTCTTCAAATTTGAAAGGAAGCCTGTGGGTAAAACCTGGTTTTGCTGTCAATTCAGAAGTTCCACTTTTACAGCTTTACAGCCATGTTCAGGGCTTTCTCCATGGGGACAGGGATGAGCTGGGACCAGGGTTTCCTGCTGGGCCTCGACAGAAAGCGGCTTCAGGGTCCAGGTCACACTCCCCTGGGGGCACCCAAGACACCCCCCCCAGCTATGCCAGCCCCATGGGGACTGCTCTCTTCAGTTTGTAACTGAAGAGTTTCTGCATTTCATTTTCTTTCATTTTGGCCTAATTTTGATGACAGAGCATTTGGAGGTTTTTTTGCATATCTTTTAAGTGATGTCCTATAACAAGTGTTTTTTTCTGTGCAGGTGAGAAATAAGGTCCCTGTGAACTCATACCCAAATACGTGTCTACCCTTGATGACAGAAGTGAGGCAGTGAGCTGCAAGCAGGATGGACTCAACAAAATGAAACAGTGAGCACTTGCCACACTTTTAGTACCAGTATGTCAGGTTGCAGAGCTAAGAGCTGAGACACTGGGAAAACTGCATAGCAAGATTTGTTTTGCTGCTTTTTAATGGAGTACATCTGTATACATAGATTATAAAAGTCTTTATGGGATCGCATATTCTTATCCTTATCTCCTCTACAGAAGTGAAGTGAGCTTTGCTGATAAATTCACAGATTTCCAAAGAAAAATGGAAGTGCTCATGGCCCTAATTTTCATTCCTGCTTCCTTCTTCATGATTAATTTAACCAGTGCAGTGGAGTTATTTTCGGAGACACCAAGTCAGAGAATCATTTCACACAGCTTTCATGCTGTGAGATGGAGCATTTGGGTTTGAATATGAATATGATAGTAACAACAGTAGCCGCGGGAAGCTTTATCTGCCAAAGGGAGCCAAAATGAAACAGAACTGAGAGCTCCATCAGCAGGAGTTAGTCAGTTATAGCTGTGCTGCCGTAGTTCAAGTCCTTTCATTCTCCCCACTTAATCAAGTGACAGAAAACATGTCCCTGCCTGGCTCAGCAGCTCAAATCCAAGCATGTTGTAAAAACA